ATATACGCACACACTTTGCGAGAATTATGTATGAAAAATACTTTGCAAGCTGTCAAATACTTTATAAATGTTAGTCATAGTTAATATCCTTGACCTTCTATCTGGAAGTGCTGTTGCAATGAGTAATAAATGATGATCATGCTCCTCAATTATTTCTTCTTTAGTAGGACAAAATATATTTCTCTTCATCCTGGTAATCAACAAGGTAATCATGCCAGAATCATTCTCCAAGTGCCTGCTCCATCTGGGTTCATATTTTTGCATGGTCTTATAAGTGATCATGTTTTTGGTGCTTCAAATTCCAAATCTTATTAGAAGGATCCAAAGTATACTGTTTTCTATTGAAACTAGAGTTTAATATAAATACACGGATTGCCTAGAAGTTTATCTGAAGGCTTCATATTTAAGGGCCTACGGAAATGCCATGACAGTCATTTAATATCTGTGGATGAATCGTTTCCAAAATGGATGAAGACTGTTTTTTTATTGCTAAACGTTTAATGATGCTGGTATGTCAGTTTTTTTCTTTCTGCAATTAGACTTTTATGTAATATTAAAGTACCCTCAAGAAGAGAGATGATTTCATGTAGATAGAAGGATCAAGCTAAGAAAATAGAAAGGACAAAAACAGAGTATAATTATCATGGGGGAGGAGACAAATTAATGCTTTTCCTATTAATGTTTTATTTGTTTATGTTTCTTTAGGTGAAGAAGTCCGGAATCCTCAGAAAGCTATTCCTATTGGAATTGTGACTTCTTTACTGGTTTGCTTTATGGCCTATTTTGGGGTCTCTGCAGCTTTAACACTTATGATGCCATACTACCTCCTGGATGAAAAAAGCCCCCTTCCTGTAGCATTTGAATATGTTGGATGGGGTCCTGCCAAATACGTTGTCGCCGCGGGCTCCCTCTGTGCTTTGTCAGCAAGGTACGTTGCATTACCTCTGGGTGCGGGCTGTTTGCGTCACTGCAAAAGGTAGTCAGTGTCTAAAGAATTCCTTTTGTATGTTTTAATATGAGAAACATATTATGCAACTATGTATTCTATGGATAGGTTGCCCAGAATTGTTGTCTTAATCTTAAACAATAAAGTCTTTTTCCCTCATCAGTTAAGAGTCAGTTTTTCAGGATAGTGATGGTCCAGTAGAAATACATGTGGATGCATTGGTACGTGCATCCACATACATACATATATATATGTCACATATATTCATATATTTATGCATTATACAACTTTCAGATGTTTATACTAGTATGTTTTCCTGCTGGCTCTGGTGTCACTTGTAGTGCTACAGACAATTGAGAGCTTTTATGCATACAGACTTGACGTTTTCTGTTGTCTTTTAACGTAATATATCAAATCTATTTGTGTGGAAGCTATATGCTGTGGCATTATTAAATATAATGTGCTTTTTCCTGTGAAACACAGATTTTTTTCCTCTTAGCACTAATCGAGTGAACTTGGTCTAGAAATAGAAATCTCTGTTCTCAAATTCATGGTGGAAATCCAAATAACATCTTTGTGAAAGGAAAGGGTAATTTTATCTCAAGTGTTCAGATTTTCAGTAGCTGCATATTTTAATACTTTAAAATTCATTTCTCAGTTTTCCTGAGCTACTCACATTTCAAATTAACATGTGATCATAAGATATTTCATTCCAGTTTTATACCGTGCTATACAGCAGAGCATTCTTACAAAGAGAAATTCTTGGCCTGATTATTAATTTTTTTAGAATGAAAATAATTCTCTAAAATTCTGATACTGGAAAAAGAAATCTCTTTCTATAATTCATTAACCTAGCCTTTTTTCTCAAAATCTTTTTCATTTTCTATTCAAGTTAATACGAATCAATTAAAAATTACTTCCTTTGGTTTCTCAGCCATCTGCTAGTAATGAGCTTTATTTTGACTGGTTTCAAAAATCTGAACTGTGATATTGGTAATCTGAACTTGCCATCACAGTTTTAGAAGAGATGGACACAGATTCAGCCAAGGCCAAGCACAACCTACCTTTATTAAAAGATGAAGAAGATGGGTTTTTCAAATGAAATATTTTACTTATTTTCTTTTAAAGGTTATTTTAACAACTAAGTCATGTGCAAAATGGTGCAGCCAGTAAAAACACCATTAATTTAAAACATTTAAAGTTTTCTTAAACTTTTAATCATGGCTACATGTATGTACTAATTTTACAGTGAGTTGATTTTTTTTAACCGTTCTCTATTTTGATTATCTTACAATGCTAGGAATTATTATTAATTTGATCAAAGATCACACTACAGGAAGAAAAATAATGGTAAAATATATATATAAATACATAATTATTAAATAAATGAAAGGACAGTTCTATGAAATCAAATTACTTAATTTCTTCTTTAATTACATATCAGTTTAGGAATTTTCTGAGTTATTGCCAGTAATAGTATCTTAATGATATGATTGGGTTTTTTTGTTGTTGTTGTCTTAATTACTTAGTTTTAATTCAGTAATAATCATGGGCATGCACAAATTACTTGCATTATTATTTTTAGTCTGATAATTGTGCTGAGCAAATATCTGCAACAATAATAAGTAGCACAGTAGTAAATATTGGCAATATTTTTAAATGCTAAATCATAATATATATTTAAAATAACAAGACTTTATAATCACAGATGCTGAGTTTTATGCAATTACTTAATTTCAATTCTGGAATGTAATCTTGCATGAACGTGTTTGCCACACTGCATGTGTTTGCTTTTTATTCAGTCTTCTTGGATGCATTTTCCCAATGCCTCGTGTAATCTATGCTATGGCGGAGGATGGGTTGCTTTTCAAATGTCTAGCTCAAATCAATTCCAAAACGAAGACACCAATAATTGCTACTTTATCATCGGGTGCAGTGGCAGGTGAGAGAGGGGTGACTTTTATTAAGAAAATGGGGGATGTTTTTTTCATCAAAGATTCTGAAAAAATATGAAAAATTAGATGGTTTCCTGTTTTGGTTTATGTGAAGGTCAGTAGCTTTTTTGTGAATGTTTTCAATTTTGAATTTTTTTTGGCATAAGTTCTGCACTTTAATGTGTCCAGTCTGTACCTGTATATACCTGTCTAGAATAATACTTGTAATAACTCACACGTGGATTATGAATTTTTCTGTTCTAGTCTTCTGGGCTCTATGTTTCCTTTACCCCGAATTATGTTTGCCATGGCCCGGGATGGTTTACTGTTTAGATTTCTTGCCAGAGTGAGTAAGAGGCAGTCACCAGTTGCTGCCACATTGACTTCAGGGTTCATTTCTGGTAAGCTTTACAAACATAGGCTTCTTCAACATTGAACTTGAACGTTTAATGCGCATGCATGGACTTATAAAGAGGGTCTGCTTGCTGTGCATGTAAGTTAAGAACAAAATCACTGACGAATTAGGGTATGGGCATTAGGATTACATCTGAAAATTACGGTGGCAGTGGTTTACTGAAATTCATTCTTAACTGCTCTTTTGGGATTTTTTGTTATTTTAACCTCTTGGGCTTCTAACAAATGTGCAAATGGTTATAAGGGTTCTTCATTATATGTCAGGTATTAAATGCTCTTCAGATTGATTAACTAACACATAAAATTGTATTGTTGACACACAAATTTTAATTAAACAATGATTACTTAATTTTTGATGTATGAATTAAAAATAATGATTCAATATTTTCTTTTGTTTGGGATTTAAGTTGAATATTGCTAAAGGACCATAGGATTTTTGAAAAGCTAAATTTTACCCATTCTTAGTTTAATATAAGACATGTCAAAGATAATTTATACTTGGCTGTTGTAGTCCCTGCTCTTAGTGTGGTAGATATCCCCACTTCCTGGGCCTTCATGGTTCGCTAAGTTACTAACACCTATATCCTCGTAAACCCCGTTAGGAAATCTATTTTTTCTTTCAACAGTTTTGGTATTTAAGTCATATTAAAAAAAAAAAAAAAAAAACCTCCAGAAGTTACCTTTTGGCATATCATCATACCCATGTAAAATACCTTTGGCCAGATTTTTATTATATACAGAAATTGTCATATATTCTATAGATCAAGAGAATGACCTTAAAGGTCCTGTTATAGGAAGCAAGAGAAAGACTCTAGCAAGCTTTGTAGATAAAATGATAAGCTCTCTTGGTAGTGGAAATTCAAACCAAAAATGATAATTTTGTTCATGCTCTAAATTGTTGGGAAATTAGATTAGAGAATGCTAATGTTATGTATGAAATGAAAATTTTTCAGAGTCAAAGCATTTGTCTAAACAGCTTCACTTTGTACATATTTTCTAATAAATTTGCACTTTATTAGACATATATTGGAAAGTCAAATCACTTCTTTTCTCAGTGCTTAGATTTCTGACCTATAAAATGAAATTTGCGCTAGATGATCCAAAGCCCATTTTATTATTAAACAGTGCATTTTGACATTAAAGATATTTATAATTATGACAAAGGATCACACATTTTATTAACACCATAAAAACTTATTTTTTCCAACAAAACCTTGCCCAGTAATATACTATATATTCGCAATTTTAAAAATATGTATCCTTCCATTAGGAAGAATTTAATATAGCAGGATAACAAGACACTAAAATCAATAATTAAATGAAGATAATTGTAACAAAAAGCTTTTTTAATGCTCTAAAATATTACATTTTGTTATTTTGTACTCTCATACTTACTTGGCTTGTTTTTTAATGAGATCAGATTGTATGGATAATTATTTTCTTCTGTCTTGTCTACTTTATTCTGGCTATCTGTGATTCTTATAGAACATTGAAATTTTAGTCATTTAATGTATAAATATACTAACAGTGGAGAGTTTTCAAAATGAGGCATGAGGCGTATTTAAAAGAACAATGTAGTTATCATAGGACGTGCATAGGGATATAGTTCAGAACTCTGCTTCCACCTAGTCATTGTAACCTTGCTAAGTTAGCCCATGTATAAAATGGAGAAAATAATCCTTTTAGGGCAAACCATGTAAAATTGCTGGAGTTTGGTCAAAAACAGTCAAATCCTGGCCATTTTATATGGCTAAGCCTAAATAATTTTTTCTGTCTCACAGGATTATTGAATTAAAGATAAAATGAGATCATAGAGATATAAAACTTGCAGAGAAGTCTAGAACACCATATAAATGGAATGTGGTGTTATCTACTTATTATGTTAAGGACAGCTGTATAATAAATTCAAGTTAATATTATCACTATTTTGATGTTTCAGTGGAGAAAAGAACTGCTAAGTGCAAGGTAACTATTCCACTATGTAAAGTATGTTTTACCTCTTAACATTATTGGGATTTGGGTGCAGGACCATAGATTGAGCTCTCAAATCTAGTCGGTCTTACTGGAGTGTGTGGTTTCAATCACAGTAGAATTTAGCCTATATAAGAAACATATTTAATTTGAAATTATTTTATTTAGTATATGATATAACTCAAAATGGAGATGGAAATCACAATGATTATATATCATCTATAATGGAAGCTCTTCTGTTTGAATTTTTTGTGATTTTATAAAAGGAGCTAGCCAATATTTCGTAGCAATGTTTTTCTTCTGAAACATCAAAAGAGTGTATTCTGTTATATAATATTTTGACTTTCTGTCAGGTTAATATTTTTTAAGTAATCAAAATGGGTTTTTAGTAATCAAAGTAGTAGTTTTCTGTCTGATAACTGAGGGCTTTGAAAATTTATTAGCAATTTATATGACCTGAAGAACATCTTAATTGTGAGAAATATATATTCTATACATTTTTCGACTTATTATTGGTACTAAAACAAACAAATTGTTAGGCCCTTGTCCCTGACTTGAACATTATCAACTGTATAGAGTTTCATCATAGGCCATTTCTTTACTGTTCTTTTATTTTCCCAATAGCTGTGATGGCATTTCTTTTTGACCTGAAGGCACTCGTGGACATGATGTCCATTGGCACTCTTCTGGCCTACTCTCTGGTTGCAGCCTGTGTTCTCATCCTCAGGTGAGTTGTCCTTGTCCTTGTTCTGAAGGATGTGTGTCATATGGGGCCCAGGGAATAAAGAAAATTAGGGCTCACCATCCTTGCTTTCAGGGACTTAGCAGTCTCACAGAGGCAAGGAGTCACGACATAAACACATGAATATAACATATAATAACCAGACTTGGTTCTTAGCAAAGAATCAATTACAATTGGTAACTAGCAAAAGGTCGGCCCAATCCATGTGAATGGCAGGTTCTCATAATATGTAAAGACACTTAAAAATATCATATTTTCTGTTCCAGTAGTTCAACTGCTGAGATTTTATACTAACGATTTAATCACAAAGAGGCACACACAGATATATATATATATAAAGGATGTTCATGGAAAAGATAATTTATATTAGTTAAAAATTGAACTAACCTGAATATCAATAAGAGAATGGTTAAATTAATGAGGGTACATTTATTCAGTGTACTCTTCTACAACAAATAAAATGATATTTAATTATTTGGAGAAATGTGTCATTTTCAGGATGCAAAGCTATATAAAGCATCTAAATTTATTTAAATAACA